GCGAGGTGTGCGGCCGCACGGATCGCAGCGCAGCTCTCGCTCCGAGAGGGGTTGGTTGTGTGGTAACCGAGTGTTTGTCTGGACCCTCACTCTGTGAGGTGTTCATTGTCCAGAAATACCATACTTACCTGGACCATCACTGCGTGAGGCGTTCCTTGTTCGGAAAGCCTCTGTTTGTCTGGACCCTCACTCTGTGAGGTGTTCATTGTCCGGAAAGACCATATTTACCAGGACCATCACTGTGCGAGGCATTCCTTGTTGGGAAAGCCTGTGTTTATCTGGACCCTCACTCTGTGAGGTGTTCAGTCTTTGGAAAGCCTCTGGACCACCACTCTGTGAGGCATTCCTTGTCCAGAAAGCCCGTGTGTATCTGGACTGTCAGTCTGTGAGTCCTTCCTTGCCTGGAAAGCCTGTTTGTGCAAGGTAATTCCCTGCTTGTCTGGAAGGGAGGGAAAGGTCCCACTGCTGAGAAAGAGATGGTTGAGGGGAGACCCATCTGTGGCAAAAGCAACTCTGGGCACGGGAATTAGTCATAATTACAGTTGAGCTGTTGCAGTCAGTAACTGCAGAGGAAGATGGTAAAGCCTGTGTGGAAAAACCCCAATTGCGGAAATGAATGCAAAGCTCTTGATTTATTATTTTTTCAGTGTTAATAATCAAGGCTATTATAATGAGAAATATGTACATTATATGTACATTATATGTATTTAATTTTTTAATAATTCAAGGCTAGGCTGGATGGAGCTTTGAGCAACCTGACCTAGGAAAAGGTGTCCCTGCCCATGGCAAAGGGGTTGGAATTGTAAGGTCCCTTCCAACCAAAACCATTCTCTGGTTCTATGGTTCTGTGGTTCTATAGTTCTATGGTTCTATGCTTCTATGGTTCTATGAATCCAGTCTCTTCTGTGAGTGTCCATCAAGCTGTCCCTTCAAAGAACTGAATGCCTGCACAGACATCAAGTTTTCCCCACCCTGTCAATGTTAGTGATGGCAGCGTTGAAGGGAAGGGAAGCTCTTGGCTTGGGTACACAAGGTGCAAGTTCCCCCCCATCAATACTCAGGCAAGATGGCAAGAGAGCAATACTCAATACAAGACGGCTTCTTTTCTTGTAGCCGTCAGGTTTGCAGGACTTGGCACTCCAGCTGTTGGTGAGGCTCTGTTTGTGTTTAATGCTGGTAATCCAGAGTCAATACTGGTGCCTTTCCAAGTTAGTACCAATTACAAAAGTTGCGCTTTGTGCCACAGCAGGAGTTGTTGGATGAGGGTGTGTAGGTGCTGCGTGAAGTAACTGCATTAGAGCCTCCCGATTTCTTTTGGGGCCGGGGTCGAGCTTTGCACCAAAAGAGCACCTGTCACAATGGGGCAGATGCCAGGCTCGACCTTTCAGAACATCAAAGCCCAACAGGTTTTCATTGTGATCTGTAATTGCAAAGCGAGTGGCCAACATCAACCTCTTGCTTTGGGGCCATAAATGAATCTGAGCAGCTTGGCAGGTCCTGCGGCTTGTTGTCCTGCAGTGACTGTAACGCTTTGCCGTGCCAGTTGTAATCTCGGCTTCTGGGCATTTTGCTGCCTCAATAGTGCTGAATCCTGATGTTGGGAAGTGCCGAGTTCCACCATTCCA